GCTAAACTATCAGAAGTGAGTCGTGTTGTCTGTGGACACATCAGCTATTCCTCGTGCGAGCATCTGATATGCACAAACATTTCAATTGTTTTATTTGGTATGTTATATTTATTCTAATTACTTATAGTCTATTAGAGATCTATATTATTAGTAAAAGTAAACGTCCATGCGTGTGTTGGTGTCCACATCCACGCTCGTGTTCATAGTGAAGGTTTGTCTGTGAGTGCAGCGGAGCGCGTGGTCCAGCTCGCTTTGTTTACGGATCATATTCAAATCACTGACCACATTCGAAGCTGTCACTATGAATCGGAAACGCATATGTTCTGATTTTTATTAAAAGGTGTTGCTCTCCAGCCTATAATTAGAAGCGTGTAAAGTTTTACGATGCGAAACAAATAAAGATTATTTAAATATACATAACTAACAAAATTCGTCGCTACATTTAGAAAAAATTAGGATGTGAGCTGTGAGTATATATTTTTTTTAATTTAAAATATTAAGAAAAGGTTGATGTAAAACTTTCTCAGATTTAACAAATAATAACGATAATTATAGTAAACTCATTACAAAACACAATATAATTCATAAGCCGTTATAATAAGCACATGTTTTTTTCAATGAAATATTTTGTATTGTGTTTCTACACAAAGGAAAACTCATATTAAAATTTAAATATTAACTCTAAGAGTACTTGAACCGGTTTCTAATAATTAATTTTATTTAATGTTGTAAGACCCGTAATAATTTAATTATTTTTTTTATTTAAAAACCAGTCCGAATACAGTTTAATTGTGAAACAATAATATTTTTGTGTTGGATAGTGACTGCATAATTTCGAAGTCTTGAAATAGCTTGATAACGCGTTCTGAAGGGACAGGGAAAGGGAAAGGATGGCGTGTTCAATAAAAAAATATATTTTATGGATAAATGATGTCACTGAGTTTTATTGATATTGTTTCTAGTGTGTGGCTAACATAGGTTTATGAATCAATAACCAGTATTGATGTACAGATTATTACTTTTCTAAGATTACTCATTAGTAATTATACAATTAGTATTCACCATTTGAGCGACGTGATGTTTTTTTGATTTATATTTCAGTATAGTTATTTTATTTATACTTAGTTAAAACCTGTCAATCGAAATATGTATGTATGGTAAATATAGATATCAATATGACATATTGGAAGTAAAAATGTTTCTATCAAAAAGTCTAACTTGGATGAGTCCTTACAAGTTTCATTAACCTATACATAAACATGTCGTTTCAACGAGTACAAATACATGAGGGCTGATAATAACTGTCCTTACTTATCAATAACAGAGGGCTTCAAATCATCGCAACATTTAGAATAAATGACATTTAAATAGCTTAGACGGATTTTTAGAAAACATCGCAAAGAAACATTTTATTCTTATATTTAATTACCTCCACAACTCATAAGGAAAATGAGATTGTAGTACGATATTATATTATTCTCGCAGAGATAATAACTAAATAATATCCAGTCTCTTTTAAATAATCTCGTAATTTAATCTTTATCATGTTCCAAATAGAAAAAGGTCAAGATACACCAAGAAGGTGAAAAAATTAACACGAGATCTGAACACTAAACAATGAACGACATACATGTATATACATCAAAGATATAAAATATATAATGAAAATTATGTCAAGCAACGTAATATAAATATATAAAGCACATATTTATGATAATGCGTTATAAGAGGATTCTTCAAAAATCCATTAAGTAAACATCGTAAGTTGTTTGTCAAATGTTCCGCGTGTTCTGGTTTTGATAAAATTGGAAACTTCTTCAAAGTCTTGCTTTAATGGATGTTCCACGTCGATAATATTAAGTATTCTTAAGACTTTCATTTAAAAGTTGAACATGTCACTTCCATATATACACGTAACTTGAAAGATAATATAAATATAGGTGAACTGATGAACAAATATTATATTATAACAAATGTAACCTGAGTTTCAGTTCCAAAGTTATTTATATGAATGTCTGATTTGAGATAATATATGTAACAACTCATATCCCAATAAATTACAGAACCGTTTACCGTCGTATTATTCTATATATGTATGTATGTATTTAAGGTATAAGCTGCATGGCGACTCCATTGTCCATTTGTCACATAACCCAGCCTCTTAATTACCACGATTCTTTATGTCCTCCTCCCGTCCGAGTCATTCCAAACATCAATCTCATAAATGGAGACCGCCCTTAAAGATACTCTCGTATTTGTTACACCACGCATCCTTTATATTTTTCTTATGAATCTCATTCCCTTGTGTTTGTCTTTAATTGAAATAATAAATCATTTGAGGAGTGAAACAAGTCAGAGAATAATTGTGAGAATTACACTCTAAGAATGAAAGTTCATTAAAACTTATAAGACTGCTCTATGCTGAACAGTTAGTTATAAAGCTACAAATTTATATCAGTTTGGACATAACGCTGGAGCAACTAATACTGGGGTTAGTATAAGTTAGTGAAGCAACTTTGAAGTAAATGTAAAGTCGGTACTTGTAAGGCTGAAATATTACGTCGGTATAGTGTCACAATATTCGTTACATTTAAATATTCAACTGAGAAAGAAATCCGAAATGGCATTGTATAAAAACTCTAATTTGGGGAAAAAATTCCAGTCCCCGATGTTATAAAAGCAAAGCCTCGTATTTACACAAAAAGCCCCCTTATAATTGATTGTCCCGCAGCTTCGACGACTCTGGACGGCCAAGTTTCCGCGTGTAATATGCATTCATCAATATTATTGTTCATTTACACTGTCAGTGCTGAACCCTACTTACTGGATCCTCAACAAAACAGAGTCTTATTCTGTTTTACTGTGCATACGAAGTTCTAGTAAATCCCATTCTACGTCCAAGGCATTGTTTCATTCGAAGGAAGGCTCTTATACATTGGATTAAGTTCTGAAACTTTATACAACTCGCAAAATTTCGTTAAAACATTTCATCAACAGTCATTTTGAACGACTGACAGACCACAGCCAAAAAATTCCATTTCTCATTACATTTTGTGACATTTGACCTCATTTTTTCATTTCGTCCGGATTAAACACTGCGGGATTCGTATAAGCAAAATTATTACATTGCATCCGCTATTGTTATGTAATCAGATTCAGGCGATTTACTTTTGTTTAGATTTTTTAAGCATAATTTTAATTGTATAGTTCACAATGCACTGTCCGTTGCACGTTCTAATCAGAGACTGCCAAGACAAACCTTTCCTCTCACACCCCCGCTCGAGCTCGGTCATGTAACCATTTTAATAAATGTGAAGTTTAGGATCCTTTAACCTTTCTCAGTATCCTTTGTGGTTAAGTAATACGAAGTCATGAAGTAAGCACATTCTTTTGAAGTTCCCTCAAAATGTAAAATAAGATATAACGCTCGTATAATCGGCTCGTAATTTACGTTCCGTTTAATTCCTGTATTATTGTGAAAGAGCAATTTATTTTTTGTCGTCTATACGACGAGGAAGCTTGGGCATCATATGAATTATGGAAAATAATCCAATATTGAAATACATGTTTCATTATTAATATATAATATAATGTGTACGTAATTAATATATCTAAATTATATTCAAATATATTTTGATATCAAATATGTAACATATTTTATTGAAATAATTTTGTATGGAATATTAAATATTTGTACATAAAGTCTTTACAGTAGCATGTAACATTCTGGGGTGTTTTCTGTTGAAAAGACGCTTTTTGGAATGATGCCGTAATAGATTATCTCATTGTAAGGGTGTCAGAAGGATGTTAGGCGAGGTGGTGTCGAGGGGTGTCGGGTGTGTCTGGGGGTGTCGGGGGGTGGTGAGTTGGACTTACTGGCTGGCGTGTGACTTTTACACACGTATCATCGCGGAAATGAATATTATTCGCGGTATTTGGAGTGTGAAAGTTGGACGGGTGTCGTGAGTGTTCCCTGATAACGTTCATAGCATTGTTAGTTCACTTTAATGATTCCAATGCTATTACTACTATAATTTTGTATGATGTAGTAGTTCGTTTATAATACAATAATTCTACTACTAAATCACATATGATAGATGTAGTTTCTTCTAATATAGTATATATTACCAGTTTTAAACTTCATCCACTTTGAATTCACCTGTCTTTTATTGCAAACTTTTGTTTCAAGTTAAGCCTAATCTATTTTAATTCTCCTAATCTATAATATAACATTTTTATACCGGCATGACATGAACGTCGTCTAACGTCTGTGTATCAATGTACATTTCATTTGATTTCTAAGTATAATAATAACCCATCAACACAATACAGTGACAATATAATGCTCCGCTTACTAAGACAACTGACAAGTGTGCTATTGTAATACATATAGTTAAAAACACCATGTCTATATATATATAAATATAACCCACGACATGTTAAGGCTGTACGTGCTGTGAGACTATGGTAGTAAATAATAATACTTAATGTATCATTCTATTTACTTGCATATAAGTTTCTGTTAAGCTAATATGTATATATATTTTTTAAAAAGAATATGTAACTTGTATTTGTCATTTTACAACAAATTATTTATTTTATTTTAAACGAACAAAAGAATATTTTCCAAGTCATATTTCGTGATATTTGACTTCATTTTATCAGGCCCTATTATTATGTAACCAATCATATCATTAAGTCCTGTTGCACGACGTTACGAAGGCGCTACAGTCAGACTGTTGTGGTCTTATAACATACATGAGGCACGCACGGAACGTTGTCTTCATTACAGAATTAAGTTGTTTGAAATTCATATTAGAGCAGCATTTACATAGTCGTATACGGAAAGGTTATTTAGATAGGGAAGCACATCCAGATACATACATACATATGTATAAAAGTCACTATATAAATAAATTAAGGTTTATAAAGAGTAAATTTCACGGATATGATATTTTATTGTTACATCGATACCAGCTTATAATACATATCCTTTGTGGATGATGGGTGGTGGGTGGTGGGTGGTGGGTGGTGGAGACTCCGGTTATTTTACACTGATAAAAGAAACCAATTTTCGCGGCACCGAGATAAGTTACTTTTGTAAACATGTTGGAAGGAAGGAAGGGAGGAGAGATCACGAGGATAGCGTTCAACCGAGCCATAGTAGTCACGAGCAGGCGAGTACACAACAACTGATAAACTAATCAATGTACAAACATACAACTATTACACATACTAAAATATATATATTATATGTCTGTTTTTTATGTTCAGTGAGTGGTGAATATTATAATGAAACTAATATTTTTTGGATAAACTACATACTTAGATTTATTTTGATTAAAAACTTCATACTGATGACGCTTCCGTGATTACGGTTGCTTAAAAGAAATGAAAGTGGTGAAATAAATACTTGCGATAGTTTTAGTTCTCAACGGTAAATATTATCTTGACTGTACTAATTTATGAATAGAATTGACTTGTTCATATTTTACTTAAAGTTTATGCAATGTATATTACAAAGTTTTAAGTGACTATGGAACTTACCCGTTTCTTTTGATTGAAAAAAGCACAGTTATAGAATGCAGTAATACATTTATACACACGTAGTCTTCTGACCATTCAAATGAAGCATTTATTTAATATTTAAATTATTTTCTTTTTAAATATTAACAGATCGCGTGCCACGTCAGGAGTCATACATTCACATTAAATAAGACTTCAAAATGTTTAAGTATATCAGTGTTAAAATGTTTTAAATTAAACTAAAACAGTTTTTGTGAAATAAACCTTCTTGAAAGAAGAACAAAATCTGGTTGTTAGTATCATTGAAGTTATTACATCCAACGGAATTATTAATAATGGTATAGTTCACGTTTTGATTGAGTGTTTATTCCTTACTTTTATCAATTAATTGTAGATTTGGTTTAAATACTTTTGAACTTTTAATTATAATTACAGTTCTTCAGTACTATAATTTACTATCTATTTTTATTATTATGGTTACTGTTATGATTAAATTTTATCTCAATTAAGGTTTTAAAAAAATAAAACAATAAGTTTCTTCAACCTGAATAATAATCCTTTTTACAAATTTACTTGAAAATAGCTACCATTTAATATATTTATATGTTATTGTGATTTTTAATAGTATTTCTTTAAAATCCTGGATTATTTTTATGACCTCCTTGAAGAAAATCGTATTTTTCGAAGTGCTATTGAGTGATTCCAATAATATACATCAAGTAAAAGAGATAAAGTCAATACAAAAACTATTAAAATGTTAAAAATTTTCCCAAAATATGTTATTTAAAGTCAAAGTATCGCATCACATTCATTTAATAGAAACATGTGAATAATATTATAAGTGACTGTTGTCTCAACAGTATACTTGTAGAGATTTTAATAAATGTGAAGATCTCTTTAAATTTGAAATATGTTCTGAAAGTTTAAGAATGCTTGACTGTTATCTGTTGGTCGACGGCCGGAGCAGATATGCCGACTTACTAAACAATTTAATTTGTATTTCATCTCTGAGGATTGTTGGCTAAAAATATTCTTATTAACGGCCGTCCATCAGAAGATATAATCTAGTTGCAAAGCAAAAAACATTCTATGAACAATGTGGTCGTAAAAAACTAGTAGCAGCCGTGTCACATAAATCTGTACTTTTTCAGATGATAAATGACACGTGAGGGAGAAAATAATTATTCTGTTAATAGAGCGTGACACTCACACCACCTCCCTACCACCTCGTCACCACCAGTTTTTATAATTTCGTTGGTGAAGAGTTACGTCAGGTAATGTGGTGCAGAGTTATTGGGCCAATATGCTTCATCAAGTGCTGACTGACAGTCATTTTGTTTCCTTATACCAAGTTACAGTAATGTTTAATATGAAAAAAATAAATATTTTCACTCCTGTTAGGAAAAAACTAAAGATGTATCTTTTTTTCTCAAAGTTAAATTTTTGGTATATAATAAGTTTGAAAATAATTATCAACTTAACGAGGTTACAGTGTGTGTATCTTTTAATTAATATAAATACATATTATTAGGTTAGGAGAAAAAACATATATATGTTACAAAGATTAATGAGGTACACGACGTCTGATGAAAATCATTCTCTGGTCACATAATATAAGGATAAAAAACTGTATATACAATACAAATAATTAAGTTATATTAATACATGTACATAATATTTGTGGATATATTTTAACAATACAGTAACTTTATTTAATAGCAGATAACGTTATTACGCTGTTGTTATTTATATTTAGCAATCAATATGCACTGTAACTAGATGAGTGCTCTACTAAATATGATTTAAAATTTTATTGATATAAAACAGTGATACAAGTGAGAGCGGACCAGCACTCACTAAACAATATCTGAATCACATTATATATTAATTGACTTAATTGTAAATAATGTATTAATGTTACCGTATTTACCGAACACATCGGAAATGGTTCCCTTCATTATTTACTAATTAGCCGTATTACAAATTAAATTATATAACTGATGACTTTAATTTCAGGTTTTTAAGTCAATGAAAGTAAATTCGAAATATTTTGTTTTTATACAATAGTTAAGTTTAATATCAAAGTGTTGGGAAGTTTAGTTGTTATTGTGAAATGAAAAAAATCTTGATGGTCACACGGCACACAACGCTTAAGATATGTTTCTGCTCCTTAAATGATCTTTGACAAAAAGAAGAAATTTAAAAATAGGTAGATATTTTTAAAACCAATTTAAATAATCGAAATAATTTATTACTTGAGTGTAAGAAAACTCCATACATCAATTCCTTGTCGTTACAAGAAAAGATTGTTACTCTTAAAACTGGTTTTCTTTTAAACAATTGCTTATAAAAATTCCTTGTTAGAATACATTGAAGGATGTAGTTTTGAAAGGTCAGAATGTAATGCTTAATATTTGTGTTTTTAAACTCCATTTCTTTGTTCTTTCGGTGTCATAATTGTTATACTAACAACTACCCTGTAGGTAATATGTGTTCAGTTTAGATATCACATAACACAATATTGATATTATAAATGAAAAGAAACATTTAGTATACAACTGAAGAAAACAAAATCCATAATTTCTTCTATATTATTCAATTTTTTAACACTCTAACTAAAAAGAGGTGTAATTTCCATAATGATACGTATGTCTGTCTGTAGTGACGTAGCTGTTAAACTAATTAATGTTTTATTTTTTCATTTGAAAGTCAGTTTCCTTGCATTGGTTCTTAGTTATGGTCCAGCGGCATTAGAAGTGGTTACAATACAATACAATAATTACAGTCTTAATCTCATTATAATAAAATGAATCATTTTAAAAGGTCTTTGATCTCAGAAAAAACCTCTCGGTTAATTTTGTTAGTAATTTTAATCATTTGTTCTTCTTGTTTGATTATGTTTTTAACTTAAACAATATTCATTAAACGTATTGATAACTAAATTACTTAATGCAATTTAACTAATGAGGTGAGACCTGAATAGTTTTTTAATAACACTTATTATATATCAAATATCTTGATTGATTAAAATTTAAATATTTAATTTAAAGTATCATTTAAATTCCATATAATTAAACCAATGTTCTTTTTCTCTCAACAGCAGTTTTTTTTTATATTTAATAGCTCAGTTCAGTATCTCTTATCTTTTGTGGATGCTCTCCTTTTAATATCGCTGTGTTGTAGGTACGAGTAGCTCATGCAAAAATTTTAAAACGCTTTACAGAGTTCGGAGAAGATTTAAACGTTTTGAGCTCTCAAACAAAAGACGACAATTTTATTCGACATTTTTATATTGGATGCTAGGGAATTACTGAAGCAGTAAGATCATAGATAGTGTTTATAAGATAATACGTCATAATGTCCAAATATTAAATATTGAATGTCTCCAATTATTATATTAAGTTTAAAAGGAAAATTAAAACAATTGTAAAACAGCAGCGCCATCTATGGGTTCACGTTACGCGACTTTGTTAAAAAAACATCGGTTATGTGAAATTCCCGAAGGAACTTAATGGAAGGTCAGATTTAATTATAGTCCATACACCGTCCCGCTGACTCAAATACTCTATTAATATATACTTTCACGTGAAAAAGTTTCAGCGTGCGCCCGAAATGACGTACGATATAAATTTAAATAGCCTCCAGCTCTTAAAATCATTTTATTATTGTTGTAATATAACACCTGCTTTATGTTTCACTCGACTCGAGCCCGGCGTTGCTTATTTTAATTATTAACTGGAAATATTAAAGAAAAATAATCTTTTAGCGAGCATGACACTTGTTACAAGTTGAAGATGATGTAGTGCTTTATGGCGAGACTATATTATATCTTATACAATAGCCATTTAAAAAATATGATTTAAATTATAGAAGTTCCAAAGAGAAATTAATTATAAACTTTTCTGAGTATAAAAATATTTTAAAAGCAGTTCAATAAAACTGTATATCCGTAGTTTCGTAGCCGCTACGCAATGTAGCACTTCTGTAGCAGCGTCGTAGCACTAAATCAAGAACAAAATACATTAACATATTTATACATTATATAAACCACCTTTCTTCAAAATATCCCAAGTATATTAGTAACAGATATTTGAAGCACTCTGTTATATAAAACCTTTCAATGTATTCTTAAATCTATTTATTTTGTTAGTGTAATATAAACGTTCACTTGTATCATGTCATGTTTCTAACTCTACCTGAAGTGAACATTCTACGGATATTAAGTGTTCCTGGGAGTGTATTCATGAATGACTTTCATATGACTCGTAGAACATTCGGAGCGTGCTTGAATATTATGACTCTTATCAAAAATATATCCTCTACTATTGTTAAATCTAAAAATACGTTAGAACTCTCTCTCTCTCACACACACACATACACATGTAGCATTTAATTATATCACTGTCCGGAAATTGAGTCGTTTGAATGGAAATCTTTTTTATATTTACCCAAATGTTCTGTAATTTGAATATCAACAGCCTGTTCTATTGTGTCAAATACATACTTGTATTTATTTATAGCCTCCCGTGTTATATTGAAATATTTTTTATAAAAGTCCTTTATTTTTAAGCTGTTGAAGTACTTTGATGTAGCCGACCTGATTGTGAGCCGAAGGATACATTACAATGTCGTCGGAGCCTCGCAGAGTTTGGCTTGTAAATGGTTTATTCCAGATAAG